GTCGATGTCGTTGAATTGAAACATCATATCTTCTAAAAATCTTCCTGCATGGTGAAACAGGGAAACATCTTCCTGCCAGCCTCATCTCCTATCATCCTCTCATCTGTATGTTCAAGGCTTCATGATTTGTGTCCCACATTTTTCCACGCGTTTCCAGATGCTTCCACCCTTCCGAACTTCCGAACTTCCGCGCCCCGAGACAATCTCGCTGGAAATGGCTGGGTGCACGTGCCCCACAACGGCAAATGCTACCACATCACCATCTCAGGCCGCCTGACATATAATTCCACAATATTCCACATATATGTGTGGGGATGAGTGAAAAGATCCATTGGCCACCTAATTTCGGGTGGTTGGGAACCAGGCTGAACTGACCAGCCATATATCTTCTGGATATGCCTGGATTATTCTAGCATAAAATCTGACATTTCACTTGCCCTGACCTGTAGTCACTGTAGTCTGACAGATAGTGTGACATATGTTTGAGCAAATATTCTGGGCTGACGCTAACTCTGATATATAGTCAATATATGTCAATATAGTCATCTGATCTGACAAATTTCATGTGACATGTATTCTGACATGTATTCTGAGATGTGCTTTGGCAAATTCGATGTGGCACGAATCTCCGGTCATATGGAAAATGCACATCAGTTTAGAAATGCAGCCTGACATTTGATCGTTGCAAGTTTCATGTGACATATTTCCTGACATCAACTCTGACATGTAGTTTGATTAATTTATTCGGACAAATGATAAATTACGTGTGGCGTATTCTCTGACATCTATTCTGACGTGTATTTTGACATGTGCTCTGGCAACACGTATTCTGACTCTGACACATTCTGACACAACTTCTTTGGCAAATTTTATGCGACATGCGCAAATATATCTGGTTGGTGGTTTGGAACATGAATTTTATTTTCCATATCATATATGGGATGTCATCCTTCCCATTGACTAATTTATAGATTCTGACATCTATTGTGGGGCAGCGGAGATTATGGGGCACAAATCAAGGGTTGGTGCGCACATTTTTTTTGTTAGATCTGCAGGATTTTGAGCTGAGGAATAGGAGTCCGGTAGGGATGTCCGGTCACAAAGTGTAGAGATCTGCGCCTGACAGTATTCTGTGTGTATTCTCTGTGTGTGTCCAATGATCCAATGATGTCTAATTTTTGTCTAAATTATAGATTTGTAGCAAGTAGGAGTCAGGAGATGCGAGTTTGGGATTTGCAGAATCCTGAGGATGACATGACAGAGATCCAATGAAATCGTTTTCTGGACGCCAAGGGGTGGCAGGTTCATGTGTTCGGAAGGGTGCCGCTTTACTGATTTTAAAGCTGACCAGACTAGTTTTCTTGTGCGCATGCTGTTGGCAGGCGATGACATCTACTGCAGGGGAAGTTCCAAGGACATGTTTTCACGGGAGTTTTGGACATGAATCAAAGTTATATCAGAGTTTAACAGAGATGTGTGCAGAATTTCACCTTTCACAAGCGTTCCAACGATTTCAACACATGTGCTATGATACTCCAAGCAGCAATGGTCAGTTCTTGGCAGAAATGTGGACCGATTTTGATTCGACCGCCAAAAGCGAAAGTGTTTTATTTTGATTGCGCGTGATGATTTATTGGTTTGTGATTGTCATGTTCTTTCAATTTCCCCTCGTTCCGTCAGATACCAGAGTGTCAGCCATATTTTCCTGCAGCTTTGCAGACTTCTACATCATTAATTATATCATTTTATAGCACATATTGCTCGCAACAGCAGGGGGCCAGCCGTTTCGCTGTGTTTCCCCGGCTCATTTTTTCCAGGCCGTGTGGTACCAGAAGCTTACCACACTGACAGCCTCGTCGTCATGGAAGAAGGTGGCCCGGGGCGACGTGATGTCCGTCTACGTCCCCAAGGCGACGGGTGTTTTTTTATTTAAGCGCTTGCGCGCGACAGCCGGCCAGGGGCCCATGTTGAGGTGATAGGGGTCGAGCAGGGAGGAAGAGCTCAAGGCTATGTTGCCCCATCGATCGGGAGGCTATGTAGGCAGCTTGGGGCTATCGGGGGGTAGCTTGGGACTAGGTGGACGGCGGTTGCAGGGGTTGTTCGTGTTGTGGTTGTGCTTGTGCTTGTGCTTGTGCTTGTGCTTGTTGTTGTTGTTGTTGTTGTTGTTGTTGTTGTTGTTGCGGTTGTCGGTGTTGTTGTTGTTCTGGTTGTTGTGTGTGGTGTGTGGTTTGGGGTTTGGGGTTTCTGGTTTGTGGTTCGTGGTTTGTTGTGAACGGCTTGGGGCTATATGGGCCCATCTTGGGGCTATATATGTTGGCCTATCTTGGCCCATCTTGGGGCTATATTGGCCTATCTTGAGGGCAATTTGGGCCCATCTTAGGGCTATGTTGGCCCATCTTGGGGCTATGTTGGCCCATCTTGGACCCATCTTAGGGCTATGTTGGCCCATCTTGGGGCTATGTTGGCCCATCTTGAGGCCTATGTTGGCCCATGTTGACCCATCTTGAGCCACATGCTCCGAAAAATGGGAAAAAATGGGAAGAGCACAAAACACCGTAAAACGCAGGATTTTTTGACAGTACGCGGTGGGGGGGGGTGAGAGAATGCCGTACGGCAAGGACACGGCCAGCACTGGGCCCTGGCCAGATTTAAGCGCTTACGCGCGACAGCCGGCCAGGGGCCCATGTTGAGGTGATAGGGGTCGAGCAGGGAGCAAGAGCTCAAGGCTATGGCCCAGCTTGGGGCGCTGTTGGCCCAGCTTGGGACTATGGTGGCTTACTTTGAGGGTGGAGGTGGTGGAAAAAGAGTTGTTTGTGTTGTTTGTGTTGTGGTTGGTGTGGTTGTTGTGGTTGTTGTGGTTGTTGTGGTTGTTGTGGTTGTTGTGGTTGTTGTGGTTGTTGTGGTTGTTGTGGTTGTTGGTTGTTGGTTGTTGGTGGTTGGTGGTTGGTGGTTGGTGGTTGGTGGTTGGTGGTTGGTTGTTGGTTGTTGGTTGTTTGTTGTTTGTTGGTTGTTGTTGTTGCTGTTGCTGTTGCTGTTGCTGTTGCTGTTGTTGCTGTTGTTGTTGTTGTTTGTTGTTGTTTGTTGTTGTTTGTTGTTTGTTGTTGTTTGTTGTTGTTTGTTGTTGTTTGTTGTTGTTTGTTGTTGTTTGTTGTTGTTTGTTGTTGTTTGTTGTTTGTTGTTTGTTGTTTGTTGGTTTGTTTGTTTGTTGTTGTTGTTGTTGTTGTTGTTGTTGTTGTTGTTGTTGTTGTTGTTGTTGTTGTTGTTGTTGTTGTTGTTGTTGTTGTTGTTGTTGGTGTTGGTGTTGTTGTTGTTGTT